GAGAGAAATATCATCAACTTTTTAGAAGCGTTACATCGAGCTTTTAGCGTATTTTCGTTCAACAATCACGATGAGTTGCTTCTACAACAAAGGGCTCGGTCGAAGCTCACTTTTCCAGGTACCGACAGATTTTCATTACGTCCTCATGTTTCTATTGATCATACTGTTTAGGTCTCTGGACCAATACTTGTTGTAGCCACCCGCTCCACTGTCCAGCCGAGCTGGAAAACACTCCTTTCGCGATCGGTGTTCGCCGAGCTGCCATCAGAAAAATGTCACAGGAATTGGGCGCGAATGACGTAAGTAAACCGACGCGATAGACCGTTTCTGTTGTTATTAATTTTCATTCATAGGAACAGATGAGACTGAGATTTAATCTTTAGCAGATAAACAAAAGTAAGGCTTTGCACTCTTGCATATTCGATAACCTCGAAAGAAGTAGTAATTATTTGATCTAAGAACAACGTTGGTATTCAGGAGGTTTAGGGTTTTCGTGATCGCTTGTGATTAGAGTCATCCACCGTATTATTCCAAAACTGCAACAAAATCAGTTAGTACCTGAAGAATGAACATTTTTGAATCTACTACAAATGGGCAGTTCATTTGAATCGCAGATCTGCCACAAACTTAATCTACCGGAGAGGCCGCAAGAAATGAATGTGGTCTATATAATCAAACGGTATAAATGTGACTAGATATATGCAAGATAAACCATAAGAAAATAGGACAAAAGAGTTACAAAACATCTAGCACCTCTCAGGAATGAAAAAATTGAGTCTACTGACATCGTTGCTAATGATTTCTACTTTTAACGGTCCTTCCATCTGACGAATGTCACTTCTGTTGATAGGGAGAGAAAAGTCATCTTGCTATTAATCATAAAATCGTTGCACGTATCTGCCGAACCTACTCTCGATACCACAAACCGCTGTTCATTGTATTCGTCGAATTTGAGACAGCTTTCTATTCTCTAGACCGTGAAACCCTGTACGAGTTGTTAAGAAATGACGAGGTGCAAGTTATAGTTGTTGACATCTTGAAAAACATGTAGCAGGGTAACGGTCGTGGTAGGAACACATTCAGCGGTCTCAGACAGCTTTTCAATTTATGCCGGAGTGCAGCAAGGATCGGTCACCGGACTTCTTTTATTCAGCTGTTGCATTG